TACATCAGCAGTGTATAACTAAGATATGCGTATCATATTATTCATTTTTTATCTCAGGACCCCTCAGGAAACTCCTGGTTATAGATATTGTCATCTATATTATACACTCCTGACGACTTGATATGTATCTAAATTCACTTCGCTATTACAATATATATTATACACTCCTGGTTATAGATATGTATCATATTATACACTCCTGGTTATAGACATGTATCTATATTATACACTCCTGGTTAAGATATGTATCGTATAAGTTATACAACTCACTGGTTATAAGATATGTATCTATATTATACACCTCTCGTTATAGATAGTGTATCTATATTCATACACTCCTGGTGATAGACATGCTATTCTATATGTATACACTCCTGCCGTTAATAGATATGTATCTATATTTATACACTCCTGGTTATAGGACATGTATCTATCTATTATATCACTACTGGCTGATCACTTGCCAGCACTGGCCGACTTGAGCCTTGTAAGATCCTCAAGATTCACGACTCTCTCTCTCTGTGGCGGCTCTCTTGATATCCCGCCGCGCGCTGCTTGTTCCGTGCTTTAATTAGAAGTAGAGCATGCAGATTACGTTGGCTTGAAAGGAGCGACGTGAAAGACCCGACTAGGTTCAACGATCGCAGCATGAAACTCCACTGTTCCGTCCTGATCGCGGTGTATAACTAGTGACGTCAGAGCGACATCTAATCTAACGTCGGCATCGACTGTAAGGCGGAACGCGCTGAGTTTACAATCACGCACAACTATATATATATATAGTATATCATGAGACGTCGAATGGCATTCCAGCGCAATATTGCACACACGATGATTCTCGTATTGCATAAATAATAAACAAGTATGAGATTTATAATGAATGAAATTGCACTGCCAGTCAGTGACCATTGCACAAGCCTCCATATATCCACGTACTATGCTAACATCGATGCACTTCTCATTCATCTATATTGCTAGCAGGTTATGGCGGCCATACTATGATTGTACGTATATAATAATATGTGTGTGTGTTGTGTGTGTGTGTGTGTGTGTGTGTGTGTGTGTCGCTGTGTTGTGTGGCTCGTGCAGCGCGCTGCGGCGCAGTGCGCGTGCGTGGCGTGCGTGCGTGCGTGCGTTGCGGCGTGTGTGTGTGTGTGGTGTGTGTTGTGTCGTCGTATGTGTGTATTGAGCGCCCCTGCTGATATGAAGCGACTATGATTGGTAGGCTTATGCACATCTTATGGTCTGTACCGTGCCCGCTGGTTACTGAGGAGACGTGTAATATAATTCAAGAGCTAGATAATTATCTTACTCTTCATATATGGTGTGCCCAGTCTGAATGAAGGACCGCTGCTTGCAGCTCTTCACACTTGCTATCAGAGAATGGCGTCAGCAGCAGACTCAAGCAGCGGCTTCGGATCTCTACATCCCACGGATGCAGCAGAGCTGACTCCGAGACTAGTGACACGCCATTCTCAGGTGACGAGGCACCTAGCATGTGTTATACCGTCCTAGTGTGTAATCACTAGCATGTGTTATAGCACTACTTGTCATAGGGC